GTAAAAAGATATAAGGCTTTGATAGAATAAATGTTCGATTGTTATTGAAATATAAAAAGATTACAAACCTAAAACTGAAACTAAAAAGGGCTAACAAATGTAAAATTGTAAGTATTTGATTGAGTGTTGACTAGTTTCTTTTGTATTTACTTCTTTAATTTATAATGTCAGAGCAGCGATAGCCTCTTCCTTAAAACTTAGCACATTTTGTCAAAGAATTAGGGATCTCATGAAATTTATGGCACGGTCTTTATTCTATGCTCTTTATTTTGGTAACCAGCTTATTTCATCGAGATACTTGAGTACAGATTTCGGGCATTACTTGAGATCGTGTCTTTGTGCTAGCGGTGTAATATTTACAGCTGATGAGATTTCAACATGTTTACTTATTGTGGCCTTTATTGAGCCTCAAGGCCGACCCTTTTCGTTTATATTAGGCCTGGTATTGGATTCAATCTTAACCTAGGAGGGCCTGATACTGTGTTATGGTGTTGATCACGAAAAAAGCTGTTAGTGATGATTTGGTCCCAACATCAACCTAAAATGGTAGTATGCTGAGAACCTTAAATGCGGTCCTAGTGAACCTTACAACAGATACTTCAGTTGGTATCAGGTCATACTCCTTTCATTCCATCTTGAGCATCATGCGGGCTAGCAGTATGTTAACCATCGAGTTATTGTCCACGAGGACCTTAGTCATTGGCCTCTCATTGAAGTGTACCCTGATGTATACAAGCTTTAGCTGCTGGTCATCTTAACGTAGGTTTTTCCAGGACGGCCCATTTTGGCTTTCCTTCTATTGCTTGTAAGGTGATTTGGTAGACGGGCTCCACAGCCTTCTCTTTCTACGTCTGCATCCTCATAGATTTATAGTTTTCTTCTTTCTTTAGCTCTATTAGGCAATATTGATATAGGCTCGCCTGTATCGGCCTCGAGGAGCTTTGTTTCTGCTAGTCTTGGGTACCACTAATAGTGGACCGAGACTGAGAAGGCAGTGTTAATGAGACCATGTATCAGAGGTTAAGTGGTATCTCCCCCACGTGAATGGTCTCATCACACTAATTTTCATTCTCACTCCCTTCATCTTGATCCTCAGTGGACTTCCTTCTGAAATGGTTAGCCTCTTGTTGAATGTCGGGGCTATCTTGTACCTCAATTTTCTAGTATTTGAGGTATCTCTCAACAGCCCATTTTTGTTGAAGACATCATTTCTGGGTCTTTGTTAAGGCAGCTGAGAACTTCTTATATCTCACAATTCTCTATTTCAAAAGCGGCACATTGCTAAGCAGCGTAACGAACTTGCCTGAGCCCCTAGTGGCTTTTAGCTTTGAAGGAAGCTCTGCGTTGCTTTCTGATGTCATTAATGATGGTAAAGCTAGGTCGTTAGGGCCTATGTCCCAGCCCGTTGGTGTCCCTGTGAATGGTACACCTACTCCTGAGGGCGTCAAGTACTTGATATCTCATCCTTAGATGGCTCCCTTAGGTGGTCCCAGACTACCTTAGATCTATATGGTTTTATCATTATCAATCCTCCCAGGCCAATATCCCATCCTAAAGGTCATTTGCTATTTTTTCATATTCTTTTAGCAGTCTTCATTCTGGATTTCTCCTAAGAAATCTCAAACTACCTTAGAGTCATTCGGGCTTTTAATATTCTGCCCTTCCGATCCCACATCCCATCTAAAAGACTTGTTCCTGTTGGACTGGCTCGTAGGTTTTCCCAAGTAGTTCTATACTGTCTTAGAGTTTTCTTGAGTCACTTTATCCCTGTTCTAGACATTCTAAGGTTTACCATCTTTCTACCTACCATCACTTCTCTTAGGTCATCGTTTGCTAGAATTTATCTGCACCACATTAACTGTGGCAAATAGTGGGAAAGAGTCCTTATCTACAACCATGAATTCTTCCTTAGGAAATTTTAGAACTCCCTTATTGATCCAATCCTGAATGACATTCTTGAACCCCCAACATGCCTTGGTGTTATGACGCCATGAGTGATGATACTTACAGTATTCCTTCCCTCTCTGTTCTTCCTTCGAAGGGATTTTATAATCAGCAGGCATAGAGATAAAGTTTTCTTAGAGGAGGAAATCAAAGATTTTCTCTGTTTTAGTGGTATCAAAAGTGTATTGGATTGCATTCGGTCTTTTAGGAAGCTCTCTGGCCTTTCTTATCAGAGCTGGGCATGTGCAATTGCCAGCATTCTTTAGTTCTGCCACCGTCACATCTAAGTCTCCGAAATAGGTTCCTGTCGTAGTCTATCGATGATAGTCCCCTTCCTTAAGCAGTTCCTTATAACCCTATACTTTGGCCTCGAGTTCGTAAAAATCTCAAAATTCCATCCCCTAGAATTTCTTTCAAAATTCTATATCCAATCCTGCTTGTGCTAGCTTGATGAATTCAGTTTTTGGAAGTGACACATGGCACCTGCTCCTCAGACATTTGAACCTCGCCAAGTATTGGTATGTCGTCTCTCCAGCCCGTTGTGTGAGCATGTAGAGTTCTACTATGTTGAACTAAGGCTCTATTTTATAGAATTGTATTAGAACTTTTACTCAATTTCTATCCAGCTGATGATTGAGTTACGGGGCAGTGACATATACCATGTGAACGCCGGGCCCGTGAGAGTATTTGGGAATAATCTCAGTTTTAAGTTAGTAAAGTTATCATAATTAGCAATCTCACCACATTAGATTGTGAACCTCTCGATGAGTTTCAATGTCGACTGCATTTTGTCCCTCGAGAACAACGTGAAGTCAGGGATCCAATATCCCTGAGGGTATGAGTTGTCCCTGTCTATGTACTCTGGATATGGTTTTGAGAAGGTGGGGCGGTTGATTAGCCTCAACCCTAGTCCATGTATATCTTGGATGGCATTCCTTAGGGCCTCTATGTTCACTAGTTGGTTTTAAGGCTCAATTTGACGCTCTAGGATCATTGCTGTGCCCCCCGGGCTACTCGTGCTGAGGTCCTGTAAATAATATAAAGGATTACTTAAAGGATGAGTATGAGAAAATATTTAAGGGTTAGACATGTCTCTTACAAGTGTATGACTCCGATGGCCAGCACCTACATTGATTCCTGCTTGCTGCCCTCCAAACAGCCCTAAACTTGAGCCTACTTTTAGAGGAGTGCCTCTTAATGACACAATTATGTTCATCATGCTATCATGCAAAGCCTGCATCATGATCTGCTGTTGTTCTTTCTCCTTGCATTCTGACGTTTCTAGGGATAGTGCAAAGAACCTTTGGTTCTCTTCTGGCTGCTTATCCATCTAGTCTTGAATTCCCCGCAGCACTTCTGCCATTGGTCCATTAGATATGATCAGTGGGCTAGGTTATCCACTTCCTAACTTTGAGCCAGGGCTCGTGCTGCTACTACCTATCATTATCAGCGCTATGTTCTCACGATGTTTGGTTACTTCAGCATCAGGTGATAAGTGTTCTAACCCTGTGTGCGCAGAGGTCCCTTTTGGTTCATGAGTATCAGCACCTGTTTCATCAGTCCTTTTGTCTTTTTGCATCCTTGCCATCTTTGTTACACAGGTCCTACCGAGCATGTCAAAAATTGTTCGTGTGTGAACAATAAGTACCAGGCATGCCAGAGACGCTGAGTCTCAATTAATAACAAAAGGGTCCTGAGCTCCCTTACTGCAATTTACTCGAATGTAAAAAGATATAAGGCTTTGGTAGAACAAGTGTTAGATTGTTATTGAAATGTGAAAAGATTACAGACCTAAAACTGAAAACTAAAAAGGGTTAACGAATGTAAAATTTTGAGTCTTTAATTGAGTGTTGACTAATTTCTTTTGTATTTTCTTCTTCTATTTATAGTGTCAGAGTAGTGGTAGCCTCCTCTTTAAAACCTAGCACATTTTACCGAAGAATCAAGGATCTTGCGAAACTCATGGCACGATCTTTATTTCATGCTCTCTATTTTGGTAACCAGCCCGTTTCATCGAAATACTTGGGCATAGATTTCGGCATTACTTGAGATTGTGTCTTTGTGTCAATGGTCTAATATTTGCAACTAACAGAATTTCGGCACGTTTACTTATTGTGACCTTTATTGAACCTCGAGGCTGACCCCTTTTGTTTATATTGGGTCTGATGTTTTAATTACTCAGCCCAACTAACCCTGTGACTTATTTGAGTGACATTTCATATTTAGCGCAAACATTAAGCTATGTCAACAATTCAAATCTTGCATTCTTGCTAGGTCTTGTTAGGCAATCATGGTCTCCATTCTAATGGTGTGAGTTGGCATCAGTTTGTATGTAATAGGCTGAAGTAGGGGTGAGCATTCGGTTGGTTCGGTTTTAATTTCTCTAAAACCGATCGACTGAATTATATAAATAATTTAAATCGAATCGAATTGAAATACATAACCGAACCGAATTTTAATGATTCGATTCGATTGATCTATTCGATTTATGGGCTTTGTTTGAGTGCATGAAATTTAATTATTCATATATTCTTCTATCAAAATTTTTTCCCTTAATGTTGAAAGCCCAACAAAAAAAAATAACAATCTTATACCATAATTTATGAAAAAACTAATAAGATTCGGTACTATTGCAATAAAAACTAAATTATAGAAATAAAAAATTAGAACATTACAATAAACCAAAAAAAATACTATTACTGTAAGTAGTAAAAAGGTGTTTTTTACTCACCTAGATGAAAATTTATTCACATTTTCAAAAATATGAAAGAAAAAATATAGATAATTCAATCAATTCGATTTATTTGATTATTGAATTCTCAAACCAAATCGAACTAGTCGAACTAATCATTAAAAGAAAATCGAATCAAATTAAAAAATTGAATAGATCGAATCAAATTGACAAAATTCAATTTGATTTGGTTCGATTTTCTATTTTAATTCAATTTTGCTCACCTCTAGACCGAAGAGGATTAGATGGGTCTCCATGCTATTGGCCTGAGTTGGGATCGTTGGGATAAAGCTCGTACCTATAACTTAATATCAAGAAATCAGGCTTCTTGCGTGACAATTGTATCTTTGTTGTTATTAAAAAAAATAGTCTCCCTTGAATAATATGAACAGACAATCAAACATAAACTATCAAAATCTGAACAAGTTCAAAATGGCCCTCCTAGCCCTCCGGACGCCATTAGATGGGGGAAAAAAACGGTTGAAAAGACGAGAAGTACAATTTTATTTATCCAATACAAACACAAGCAACCTCTGCAAATTTGCCCATCGTAATCACGAACGTGAAATACCTAAAGGCTGATGATAATAGGCTTTTCCCAATTGTTATCCAATATCCATATGGAGCAAAAAGAACTTGTATTAATTCTTTTTGGCAACTCCAAGCCTGAGACGGAAATCCTCTTCCATTAGAGGAAGACCATCTCGCAGCTTGACCTTTGGTTCCCACCCTAGCGATTCCTTCGCTTTTGTTATGTCCGGTTTTCTCTGCCGAGGATCATCAGGAGTGTTTTCCACCATCTTTATCTCCACACCTGGATTAATAAGCTGCAACAACAGTCATAAAGCATTCAATTACCTTCAAATATTTCACCAAGAACTCTAATAGAACAAGAGATCAAGTAAATTGCATGTAGGTGTAATAAAGCTTCCTTTTACAATCAATGAAGATCTTATTCTTAGAATGGCAAGAAGTAATCAGACTTAGATGTGAATGACAATGGAAATAAAGCAAATCACCTCCTTCACTGTCTCAGCAAGTTCAATCATCGTAAATTCACCTGTAAAAATAAGAAATTTAAATTAGTAACCACAAGAAAGAGCTTTGCACAGAGACTTTGTGCTCGTAGTGTAACCTGGATTCCCAAGGTTGATTGGACCAGTGTTTTCTCCTTCCATTAGACGGATAAGGCCATCAACCTAACAAATTCCAAACATGTGATATCAGTCAGATCCACTAGTAAATCAAAGCAGCAAATCACAAATGAGATTTGTGTATTATATAAACCATATCGGAGACATAGCAGAAGCTACGAGTTTGTGTTCCGGGAACTTGGACAGTCAGGGGCTCCCCACTGTAATACGCAAGATCATATGAGAGTGATAGGTAGAAGATCCTTTTGGAAATGGGTACAATGACATGAAAATAAGAAAGTTATGACTAGAAAACTAAAGTGAGGTGTTAAAATCAAATTTATAGTAGATATCAAGTAAACAAAATGCTCATGAAAAAACACGTTATACCTCACTTTAGCAACTATCCCTGTCATTTTTAACATATTGCACCAATATTTTCTTTTGAGATTGAAACAGGAAATGCACATAATTTATCAATTTAATCATTGTGAAGTTTTAGGAAATACCGAAGTGCTTGAGCAATAAAGTTGCTCACAACTCGCCCATCATCAATATTCATGCGTGGTCCATATGTGTTGAAGATTCTGGCAATGCGTATTTCTGTGAAAATAGACGTCTCATGAAGTAAAAAACAAAGGAAAACTTGACTTCACGCTACCCTACAGAATGAGGAGTTACTCAATAGGAAAAGAAGACAAAGAAATTGCCTATTCCATGCTGCCTATGATAGTCAAACATCAAAGTTTCTGCCACACGCTTTCCCTCATCATAGCAACTCCGAACTCCTGTTATAGACATCATTTTAAGTTAGACTATATCATCATGGGCTTTGCGAAAATATATACTTGTACTTCTATCATTTTTCTTTTTTTTTTTTAACCAGAATACTTTCACCATGTTTAATATGAAATAATGGAAGGTTAGTAATTGAGGACCTAATTCCATGAGTCAATCACCAGTGACCCTACTCAAAATGCCACAGTTACAAATTTTAATAGAGATAGGCATGCATGTACCAATAGGGTTCACATTGCCCCAATAACTTTCTGGTTGTGGATGCACAAGAGGATCCCCATATACTTCTGAAGTAGACGTTAACAAAATCCTGATAAGTGAAACTACCACAGGTTAAAACCAACTAACGATTGCATCTCAAATTATCAGTTAACAAGAAAATGAAACTTATAAACTATCCCAACCTTGCTCCCACTCGTTTCGCAAGCCCAAGCATGTTCAGTGTTCCTATCACATTTGTCTTTATAGTCTGTACAGTTATTTATGTAAAAGTTAGTCTCTCAAGTTTCACATAGAATTTTTAACCAGAATAGCAGTGTCCATGGGAAACGTACGAGAAATCGATGCACACTTGAGTGTCAGGAGGGAGAAGGGGGAGAAGGGATGAGTAAGGTATTGGAGCTAATTTTTTATACGGTTTACAAGAACATGTATGCATAGTGAGCAAACGATTAATGATGTAGAATAAAAAGAGATTCTAAAATTCCCCACCTTCACGGGATTGTATTTGTAGAAAATTGGAGAAGCAGGACAAGCAAGATGGTAGATCTGATCAACCTCAATAAACAATTGCTCTGTCACATCTATTAGAGGGAAAAATAAAAACAAATACATATAATCAATATATATATAAAGTACATAAGAAGCAACGGTATTAATAGGCCATGCAAATGTGGTCCATCTCAATCTCCATGCAATATAAGGGTCCCACATCTATTTATTGAGTACAAAATCATGGTGTTAGCTGATCTTTAATAGTGACTTGGTTAAGAAATGTTGAAAAAACAGTTAGTTTTGTATCTGCTTTAACATTGCACCATATGAATACCATTTCTTAGGCATATCACAAAGGAGAAAAGATCAAAATGTACCATGACGAATCAACTCAAATCTAGGATGACCAATCCATTTTCTCAGGTTATCCTTGGATCCAGTGAAGAAGTTGTCAGCAACAATAACCTATTTAGACAAAGAGCCTATCATTTGTTGCATAAAAAAATTATTGTTGCTCAGAAACTGAAGAATCCCATTAGTTCAGAACCATCATTTCAACCCTGAAGTTGATAACCATGTCCAGAAAGATATCAGGCATACTAACCTCATTTTTCTCATTCTGCATTAATCTGTCAACTAAGTGAGAGCCGATGAATCCTGCTCCTCCGGTGACCAGAATTCTCATGTTGGGCTGTTGTCAGGAATCAGAAATATTGGTCAGAACAAGAAATCATGATAACAAATCAGAGTGGCATTGGGACGCCAATAGGCAACGCGGCAGTTCACCTGAAAGAACTTGGAAAAGCGCAAGGGAGAAGGCAAGGGAGGTGACTTTGTTGTCAGTGTTGTCGTTGTCGTTGTTCGGTGCTCTCCATTAGAAGAATTTGTTGCCATTTTCAAAACTTCTGAAATTTAATCCTGCACATAAGCATTGGATGAGTAATCTAATTTTATTGCAGCATCAAATCCAGAAGATACATAGCATATGGGGCTGGGAAGACAGAGACAGTAAAAGAAACGGAAATGGACTTGATTGCTAAACTTACACAGAGACCAAACCAAAATCCCAAAACAGCTCAGTTGTGACTTCAGATTGAAACAATCCACGATCAGAGGTTCATTTTATAGAAGGAAATAGATCACGAAATTGAGGATTCTCCCACCCAAAGCAAAATTGGAAAATAAAGAAAAAAGACAAATAATTCAATTTCGGAGCCTTCAAACTCACGGAAAGTTGGAGTCCATCATGAAAGCTCCAAGGCAACGACAACTCTGACAAAACAGGAGTCCCACCAAACTACCAAAAAAAGACAGGCTGAAAAATACCAAAAAAAAAAAAGATTTGAATGTCTTACCAATTGGGCAAAGGAAGTGAATTGTATACGAAGAAAATACAGGGTACTCAACTGAGAGGCCGATTTGAGAGAGAACTACGGATGGATAAGCAAGTAGAGTCCATGTAGGCCCAAGAATTATGCGCCTAAGTCTGGGGAAGTCACACGACGAGAGTGCTACATGAGCTGTCTGCACAAGATAACGTATTTCCAAGGTGCTAGGCGCGTCGGACAAATTAATTAATTAATTGTTTAAAGAGACTCGCTTTGACAGGAAGGTGAATGTGGACACTGGACAACACCAATGACATCCGTCTTAATTCTTAAATTTAACGCAAGCCGTGGATCTGAGATTGTCCTTCGTTTATGCTGTCTTACAAATTATTATAATAATATCTTGGGACCCGTGAATAAATTTAGGAATAACAATTACCATCCCGCGCAAAATAAATAACTAAATGCATGAATTCCTTAAAATAATAATATTTCTCTCATGTTCACTGTAGTAATATATTTAGGAAATGTTTGAATGATAGATTTATATTTAAAATTTATATATTTAAATTTTTTTATTTAAATAGTGTAAAATATTTTTTTTAAAAAAAAGTTTAAGATTTAAAGTGAAAATAGAAGATTGAGAATGTAAACATACTTCTACTTTTTGACGGGAGACAATAACAAAGGATGAGAGAAGAGTGAAAATGTGAAGCAAATAAAAGAATCAGGGTGATTGAAATTTTAAATAATAGAATGTATAGAGAATTTAAAAAATATAAAACAATAATAATAAGAAATGAATTTGAATTTAATCCAATTTTATAGATTTTTATGTTTTTAAATAAAAGACTTGACTCAAAACCAAATTTAAATTCAAATTTTTATCAATCTAAACGCAACATTAGGTTATGTGTATAAAGGATCGTCCATGCGTGATACGAGTTCGGATTGTCTCCGGTTCAGGAGAGAGTCCGCTCGCATGATAGGATGAAGGGCATTGACGTAAGCCACAAGGCTTTGGCTTTGTCATTGGTCGGGATCTTGAGTATAATGGGGTTTTGTCGGTTTGGATTAATCTTAAAGCCTTAGAGTGGGTTAGTCAGTGTTGGCTGTTGGGTCAGGTTTTATATAGAGAGGCAAAGTCGAAGACGAGTGTAATTTGCTCATGCATGCCCCTAGACTGGAGTCTGGACAATCAGGATACGGTTAATGGACTCGCGACTAGTAATTATCGATATATTCATGAATGAAATGGATTTGGTAAATGTTGCTTTCCGAAATTCTGGCATCCCTTATTCAACGTTCATTTACTTTTTTGGACCAAGATGATATTGTTTACTGTGTTGTTGGATTTTGGCGCGAGAGAGAGTTTTCTGTCAAGATCAAGAAAACTGAGCTTCTTCCTCTATCCATGGGTAAAGAACAATGCTCAGAATTTTGAAAAAATACTTGTCAGCTACCTCACCCTTATAGGATTTGAACTTTGAATCTGCCTAGATTAGTCACATCTAGAATAAGAAATTTTCACATTGATCCATACCGTTATGTGCTGTGAGCTCGTGCTAGTGATTTGCGGGACTCTTGGCATTGGAGCAAAGTAAAAATGCTGCATCATTGTGAATGAAAAAAGACAGGCACTAAATCATGATCAATAAAAGACAGTCACTAGTGCTTCTCCAAGAAGATTTGGCTTGGAAAAAAATGTTTGAGAACTAAATTGAAAGAATCAAGTTTTTGATGACAAAATTTTAAAATATATTTAAAGCATCATATTGAAAAGTTATATCTATTTTAAGTTCACTTGCATTTTCCATGATCAAGAACACAGCACCAATGTGTGTTTATCTGTTTCTTTAAACAAATCAGATCTCTCACAACATGGTATGTCTGTTTCTTCAACAGAGAAGTGCAGGTTTGTCTGTTGCTTTAAACAAATCAGATGCATTGAACGACATGTTTAATATGATGATTCCGATATCATTTACTTACGGAGAACGGGAAGTCGAAAAGCAATGTTACTGTGTCATGGACAATGGGAGTTCGCTCAATGCATCTGAATGCTGTTACATTTGAACTTCATAGCAGCCAGTCTCAAACCCTCGATTGGCGCCAGAATGTCTTAGCTTTGGGGTCGTCATTATTGCCTATAACAGCTACTTGTTTTTTTTTTTAACGCACGTAGTGACTACTTCATTCTCCGTAAGAGTGCTGCGTCTCGAACCCAAAATGTTCCGGTATATTAGACCGACCACACCTGAAAGCTACTGAAGAGAGCAGGGCAATGTGGCTACTTCATGACTTTATTCTTCTGAGCAACGGCACTCGTATAACTTCAAACAAAAATACAAAAGTTCGAACAACAATTTGGGAATCACCCGTTTTGCGCAGACAGAAACTGACAGCTTAATTAAACGCTCATTAAGACTTATTGTCAGTTCCTCATACCAGTAAGCCAAGGCCGCATTCCTTCCTAGGAAGGAATGGAGTAAGGCCTTGACCACTTCATAGGTAGAGACGGTAGAAGCTGAATGAAGTGTTTTCCAGGGGAAGGCACGGGTGATAACACCACATACTGATTCAAGAAAACAAAAAGGAAAGAGAGCACACTCCACCTATTAGGTTCTCCCCCAAAACAACAACAACAACAACAACAACAACAAGCCTTTATCACACTAGGTGGGGTCGGCTACATGGATTGCAAGACGCCATTGTGCTCTAGGTTCTCCCCCAAAACAAAAAAACAAAAAAAACAAAGCATTCACCTACGAGTAAAAGTTAGGCTGGCAAGTCTTGCATCACAAGGGCAAATGACGACCACTAGGATCAAATAATCCAGCACTAAAAGCAATGAAAACCCAAAACATGAGAACACTTAAGATAGCGGTTCTCAATAATTGGTCATAATTACCAAGTAGGTGGCCATCTAATTCAAGGGATGGATGTGACGATGGTGAATCCTCATTGTCACTAATATCAGCTTCACTATCTATCCCGCTGCTGGTCCCAGTTGCATAAGGTAATTGCATATTCCTCCTGCCAGATTTAGAACATTTCATGCAAGTGCATTTACCTCCAAGATATGATGGCAGAGTGGGCAGAAAGTCATAAAGAACCTTCTGATACATCTCTCCTTCTATCTTCAACTTTTTCCTCGTAACCGGCTTCAAAACCTTCAGCCAAAAAACAGTTAAAAAGAATTGAAAACCCCTATGATTCAGATGCTCATGTTAGTTCACATCTAAAGCAGCATAAATAAATTATCCAAAGGATGTAAAAGGCAATTGCTGATAACAACCAGCAGGCATGCAGATAAGCAATTAATCATATGGGAAGCTTGACACTATTATTGTTGGGCTGCATTATATTGAAGAGGCTGCTATATTTTTGTCAAGGAAGATAGGGAAATGCTTTTCTCAATCAAAACACTGTCATCAAAGCAATCCCTCGCTTATACTGCACAACCAACCTCAACCATATCCAAAAGAAAGACCATTTTGAAGCATTTTCTTCCTACATTCTTTGTCATTATAAGCCAAATAAATTGGAGGGTAAAGTTTACTTGAATAAAAGTCTGAGCAACAACACGAACAACTGCTGGAAGTCGTATGACAAGCAAACAACCAAGAAGGTTAGGAAAGTGATCTTGCAGAAGGGAAGAACAAGATCTCATCATTTGCATGGGAATTCTCAATGGAGATAACCCTTCACAGTCCACCAATACTGTAACTTGAGGGTGGTCAGAATCAACCAAGTGCAGGACTCCATATTCTACCTGTGATACTGCAGTGACAGCCATGAATGCTATTTAAACACAGCAAGCGATAGGACTATGGGACTACATATCTTTAATAGAAAATCAAATGAGAAAAGAAAAACATTACTGCCACAAAACACAGCATAATTAGGAGCTAAAGGTAAGGAAAAGAAATACTGCATGCCAAAAAGAAAGACATACTGACTGCCTGAGAAAATCGAGCTCTATCTTGTGATACCAAAGTTCTGCAAGCGATCCCAAGCCTGACAATGAGGCAGGGTCGGTGCATCACATCAGAACCATGCCAAAACACCAAATCTGACCACATTTCCAGCTCTTCTCCTGAAAGAATTCTGTAAGTTTCCCTCCAGAGAATTGTTCTCTTGACTGAGGCAAGGAAGCTTGAAAAGTCATTGTTAGAAGCTGTATAAAACCTCCGGAGCTCATTCTCATCAATTCTGCATAAATACTACCAAATCACGGTTGCTGCCATAGGAGAAAAAGCCAAGAAATATACAAGTAAATATGTTATCGCTAACTTTTAAGGCAACTCCAAGCAAGGATTTCAGAATTTACCCAAAGATACGCAATAATATAATATCAAAAGACAATGGTTGTTGTTAATAGTTTGAATATCTAACAGACTTTTGCATGCATGCAAAATACACAAATTGATGAGCAATATTCAGACTGTGCAACTTACATTAATTTTATTTGCAGAACAAAAATTATAGAGTACATTCAACTCCATATAAGGGGCTAAATTCTAAAACGCAATATATGATCATTTATGAAAATTTTTGCGCTTCTATTTTTGAAAAGCAAAAATAGCAGATTTATGCCACTTATATAATTTCATAATCACTGCAATTTTTGGAACATCCAGTAACCCAATTTACTAGAAAATTTGTTATACTATTATAAGCACAACACAGTATCTTCTGAAATAGTTCAGTGGATGCATAGTGATTATAAATACCTTTCTGACAGTGTGATCCCTTGATTTTCCAGTTCTTTGTACAGTTGAATCAACCACTTTTCAGATTCTAAAATTTGAGGATCTGTCTCACAATGACTGCAAAATGCATTGAAAATAGGAGCTTGCAAGTATAACTCGTAAAAGCAAGGATACACCCAGTTTAAATTGTGTTAACAGTAAACATCTAAATTATGCTGTTCAGATGCATGGTGCAACAGATATCAATATCCTACATTACTTTTGGAGAAAGTCCCTGCCCCTCTCTAGCAAAGTAGATGGCATCCCTTTACCTTCAATGGATCTTTTGCAAGGTCTAAAATCTCAGAAGCCTACAATGATTTTGAATGTCTAAAAAATATTTAACAAGAAAGAAAAAGGCTCAATCAGACTTTAAAAGCCAATAAACAGTGCTATTAAGTTTCTATCTAAAATCTCAGAAGCCTACAATGATTTTGAATGTCTAAAAAATATTTAACAAGAAAGAAAAAGGCTCAATCAGACTTTAAAAGCCAATAAACAGTGCTATTAAGTTTCACTTAAATCACCAACCTTCTCCAAATTTTTAACCAATCTCAAGTTGTGGAAACTATTCCACTGTCTCCCAGTCAAAATTATTTTGCTTTGCACCAAATTTAGTGGATGGATTACCATACTCACGGGCTAGTAGCTTACACCCAAGTAGTCATCTCTGATTCTCAGAAGTCAGTCATATCTGATTTCAGTATCTCACAACAATGCTGGCAGTCATAATTTAGTAACACCAATTGAGCCCAATAATTTTGTACCTCACTAAAATTCTAGCAGGGACTTGAATGGAAATACTGGAATTTAGGGGACTAAATTAAAATTGAACCAAAAAGATCGAAAATACTATTCAGGTTGTAAAGAAGATTTTTTTTTTTTTATTTTCGGTTCATGAATGCAACAATTTGTTTAGGAATTTATCTAAATGAGGCAGAATAAAATGCATTGATCATATTCATTAATAACTCTGCCTACCTTGTATGTGAATTAGTCTGCACTGAAGATGATTCTGAGCATACTTCTGAATCAGAGGAATCAGAATGACAATCTGTCATTCCATCACTACATTCCGATTGGTCATTAAAAGCCGTCGCAATTGAAAGAACAAGTAATGGTCTTGATAGGATCTTGTAGCAAAGAAATCTATTAGCCATTGACTCATGAATATAGTCATAATTAGGATGTCAGGGGAATAAAAAGACAATAAAGGTAAATAAATAAAGACATCCACCTTCATAAAAAATGGCAAAAGGGGGGCAGGTTAATTATTGGAAACTATATCAATGATTTCAGATCATGCTATCTAATGTTGCTTCTCTACTGATATTGCAAGAGCAAGACATTTGTTGAAGAGACTTGCAAGACGCTAAATATGCTGGTGCTTATGATAGTAGAAGCCATCCAAGAAAAGAAAAACTTCTTAAAAATCAAGATCTATACCGTACCCAAAGCTATTTATCCAATATCATAATTGATGCAATAAGATGCCATTCACATACATCATGAGACCTTCAGAAATCTATAATTACAAACCTGCATGCTTTTGACCAAACCTTTGAAGGGTTCCCACCTCTGAATCCATTTGAACGGTGGATAGCAAAGGATTTGTAAAGCCTGAAGGCCTCTCCATACAATTGGGCACCTGTTTTTCGAGAACCTCCTTACACTTTCTAATGCAGCAACTTTAAGTAAGAAAAAGGTCAAATGACCCACAGTTCTACTTCCAAAGCCACCATGAGTCAGCGAAACAAGCTGTTCATAGTTTTTCTGGGCAAAACTTTTAGGGCGAGACGCAACCAGAGATTTATTATATGTTTTTTTTCCAGTGACGAGATTGCTTGTCTTAGAATTCTTAATTGAGTTAGGGTAACTCAACGTGTCTCCCATTTATACTGACTGAATGAGAAGTTCCCTGACGAGCAGTGCAACAAAAGCAAGTATTCAAATTCAAGAAATTACAGCAGATACAATTATATTGCAGTGACTTCTATCTATCATCTAGAATAAATTTAACTATTATATGGTAGAGATGGAGCTCAAAGAGCTGGATCTTGAGAAGTAACTAAACAAGTAAACAGTAATATTAACAACAGAGGCAACAAGAGATCAATATGTTGTCCCTACAATGCAGAAAGCACACGTAATTGTAGTTCAACTACTTCAAAATGAACTGTGCAAACACAGATACAGATGCAAAGCTGCGACTAAGAAAAAACGAGCTCACGCCTAAAAACAATAACCTCAAAGCCTCTATGCAGGAACAAAGCTAATCAAAGATGACAGTTTCATTCCCCTAAGTAACAAACGAAATAATATTTTTCTTAAAAATCTGAAGTTGTCACTGAGACGGCAATTTCTTGTGAAATTTAAATAATTCAATTCAAATAAATATTATAATCCAGGAGAAAATGCTGTCAATTTTGAATACGTAGCTAGCAGTATTTCAAAATTTAGAGAGGCTTTTATACATAAGCACGAAAGTCGTATAACTATTCTGAATATTTGCTAAAAACTCCGATAACATAAAAACCAAGTCCAAGTCATTCGGATAAACAAAAACAAGGTATTGAAAGTTTTCAAAACATCACCTGCAATATAATTTCAACTTACAGTGTCAGCATTAGGGGACAACAAAGATAACAGAAAGATCGGACGGAAGCTATACAGCGGATCAGATCAAAGAATTTTTCTCGAACGATGGATCAGTCTCAGACCTTGCGGAAAGTGCGACAACAATTAGGGAGGACCCCGAACAATTGTCAACCATCCGGAACTCTCTCCAGTTCTCAAGTCCGTACGGTGGAAACTGATGGCTAGAGAATGTCCTTCCTCAGTGTGAATTCGTGTATAGTTCGTTTGTTCGTTATTTATTTTGGGGGAAATTTCTATTATCAATCCCCACAGATTCACAGAGTTTTGTTTTCAATTCCCATAATTTTTTTCTCAATGTTTTTAATTCTTATAATTTTATAAAATCGTTTGTTACATTTTTATAATTTCAGTTTTTCATTAAAAAATTTATAAAAATTAAAAATAAAATTCAATAAAATTGTAAAAATCAGTGTTCATATTTTTCCTTTATTTTATTTGGGGTATTATCGGCTTTGTAATGTCACATACTCACATTTTAATTTTTGTAAGCTTAACATACTTTTATTTAATTAAATTAAAATAAAATTTTAAAATATTAATAATATTAATAAAATATTAGATTATTATAAGAAAAAATAATATATAAAAAACTCACATATGATTGGAAATATGCAGTTTAAATAGTTAAATATTTAAGTTTACTTAATTTTACTCCAACACAACAATCAAAAGAGATTAGGATTATAAATTTTACAAATCTTAGTTAAAATAATGTTGTGCTAGCTATGTATAATTAGTGTTTTTATTAGTTTATATAGAGAATTGAAAGATGAGTCACGCGTATTTATAAAGATAGGTGGATAACAATAACTTACCTATTAATTATTATTATTTTTTCACAAAGGGCTCGACTACTTCATTCTTGACAGCAGAACATCGGTTGTTTGAGTCGTGCCTCTGTTGGCTGAGCTGACAAACCAAGTTTGTCTGATCCTACGAGGCGTCATATTAATCTGTTGCCTCTCTCATCACCCGGCCAACATGTGACACTGAGAAACTTCAATAATCGAAAGTGGAAAGTTTATATCTGTGACTCGAAATAGGACTCCAGAGCATACAGCAAAGGAATTGTTTGTTTGTATTGGCCCGGTAAATCAAGTAGCTAATAGAAAGTACAATGAAATAAGGTAATAGCTTCTGCACTGCGAAAATGAATATGCAACCCAGACTAATTTCAATCGTTATTTTTAGAGTTCTATCAATTAAGTTTCCCTCTTCGATAGACTTGCATTATTTTCTTAATGACTGCACGATACTAACATCATCTGCATCATGTTTTAATTCAACTTCTAGTAATACTCTTCGTCTGTTATTATAGCAAATGGTGATGACCTCCATATCCCTTTCATTATTGGATACTTGGATTGTATCATATGTTATAGCTCTGCCACAGTTGGGCGGGGCAGCGAATTATCACTTGCTTTTTCCTTGTCCTGGTGCGAATGTTTTTCTTGCCGCTTGCTAAATTATGTCGAGCAAGCTGCTTAATTATAAATGGGCCATCATCATTTGAGTTGATTTCTAATGGAGATTTGATAATATGGGATACTAAATTTCACATTGAGTAGTATGGGATGTTTAACAGGATATATAAGTAAATTAATTTTTCTACTTCAACAGCTAGCTTTTGGGGTAGGATTCTTGATCCATTTAGGTACCCATCAATTGGTATCCAAGCCTCGTTATTAGCAGTTTTAGAGAGAGTTGCCCGCAAAGGTCTCTAACAAGAAAGGAGACATGCTATGTAATGCAACCGTCGGAATGTCAACTTTTTATGGAGGGCTAATTGATGGAGACTTAGTAGTATGAAATATTAAATCCCACATTGAGTAGTATGGGATACTCAATTGAATATATAAGTGAGTTAATTCTCTTATTTTAATAGCTAGCTTTTGAGGTAGGGTTCTTCATTCACTTGGTACCAATCAATTTCTTAATTTGTTTGCAAGCATGTCACACTTTATTTTTAGTTGTTTATATTTTGACATAAATCAAACAAGATTGAGAGATTACATTCTAATGGACATGGTTTCAGTTGATTCAGTCATGCCTAATTATATATCATGTTAATCAAGTATATCGATTCCATAATTCCATGGTTATCAATATTTGACATTTTGTTTCTTCTTTTTTCTCCACTACATCAATAATGCACAACTGTTTTTCAATTGAAAAAAAAGTCGAATGTCTGTGTTATAAAATCTTTTTTCAAATCAGGTTAATTTATATAAGAGAAAACATAATTCTTAATTTCTGTACTTTACTCGTATTTTGTTATATGTTCCTATACTTTTTGTTAATGTTCTAAATCCCTACACTTTTATTTTTTAATATTTTAGGTCCTTGAATGATCAAAATGAACAAAATGTAAAAATATTAAATGAACGTAAAATATTAAAAATGAAAGTGTAGAAACTCAAAATATAAAAAAAAAATATATAAAAACCTATAGCAAAACACAAACAAAGTACAAGATTAAAAAACATATTTTTCCTTCGTATAATCACGTATGACACACTGCACCAGTGACCAGTTTGAATAGCGGTATAGGGAAATTGAAATAAATGAGTATAATCATAATGAATCGAGAAGTGCAATTTTTTTAAGAAAATTGAGGTAAAAATAGGCAATTTCTAGCTAAGAAAATAAAATTAAATAAACGTGTTTAAATTAAATAGGGATATTTTGGCTAAAAGGGCAATTAAGGGGATTTAATTTCTCATTAGAGATGATAAATAAAATTGGATCTTACAAAATAAATGAAAGTCTACGTATTGAATACAATTTGAATTCAGGAGATAACTCCGCAACTTTCTTGGAATAGAAGTAGATTTTTATAATAAACAGAGATCGAGGGTTCATTTTTTGTAGCAATAGCGCGAGAATTAGGACATAAATTAGAGTCCGAAGCATGAGCGGGATGGGGGGTAGGACACGAAGTAAAATGCATGCACTCCACGTACAACTTCGGAAGAACTGCGTGCCACGCAGACATTCCAAAGAAGGATTAAAACGTAAAAACGGGAAGCTGCCAGAAGAAATCAACGAAAAATTCGATCAATGGCATCGAATCACAGGTCGGTGTATAATGGGCACACCGAGGTTTACTTGCAAGGCGTATCCAAGTCGGTGGCTTTCTATTCTGATGCCTTCGGCTTCGACGTTCGCTGCGCACACGAATCAAACAGGTGCCGACATATATATGTGCGCGCGCGGGGAATCGCCAAATAATAATTTGAACAAGAACAGGTCAGATGGGGAGAGTTGGAGAGCGAGCCGACCACGATAGCTTTCACTCCGATGCAGCAGCGGGAGACGGGCGATCTGACCGGAAAGGTCCAAACACCTGGATCTGGTCGAGGAAGACAACCGGGGGAGATTTGTTTCGTTTACGATGACGTGGAGGCTGCCTACAAGGTTCACAGAGATTACGTGTACGATTTTAATTACGATAGCATGATGGAGAAGACACAGCATGGTTTGATACTTTGAATGATGCGGACTTTGGGAACAGAGGGCGATAGAGAAAGGAGCAGTGGGAGTGAGCGAGCCAGAGAAGAAGGAGTGGGGCCAGAAGGTTGGTTACGTCAGAGATATTGACGGCATAGTGGTGAGGATGCGAAGCCGAGCAGTGAATCAACCCAACAAAGATTAATACCATGGAATTACAACGTGAGGGCCCATCTCCGCAACATCAATAGGTTTCCGCAATTCAGATCAGATTCTGTGTTCCATAGACGATGAATTTGCATTGCTGTCTGTTCCTAGTGTTTTCCGGTTACTAATGATCCCGCTGCAATAAATGTATTCACTGTAATTTCACTCGTCTCCGAGTTCATATATCGCGCTATTAAGGATACACATACATTTGATTTATTAGATAATACAAGACGCTAGAATTATAATGTCGTCCCATGCATATGCTATTTACATTTTAAACAATTGACATGATAGCATTTGCTGGCAAGATTTCTTTTTTTATTTTGGGGATTGCGGCTGGCTTATAATTTAGTTTTAGTTTTAGAGAATGTAGTTATAATCGCCTCGCAAAGCCCCTAAAAAACAAAAAGGATTTAGCTGTATTTTTTTCTTGATTCGTCCATTTCGTAGCCTTTTTCTTAAAATAAATTTCTTATAATCATTTTAAGTGAAAAACAGGCTTGACAAATATTAAGATTTTTTTAAAAAATTTTGTAGTATAAAAACTTGTGAGGAATTGGGGCTGCACAAAAGACTGGACGTGACTGGACTTTAGCCTAACCTGGAGTCTGGTCTTTTTCATGAAAAGGACTGGGTTAGGTAACCTGTAGTCCGATCTGATCCTGTAAAAAATCGGAGATTAACAAGACTGGACTTAGTCCATAGGACTGGGAGACTGGTCCTGTTAGTCCAATACTCACTTGGTCTTTTTTTTTTTCTTTTTACCTCTATGATGACCAATAATCTATTTCAACTTAACAAATTCAATTAAGATAATAAAAACACTTATAATCATAATAAATCCATAATAATTTCTAACACCAAGAAAATAATATTTTAGTTACAGCCCAAACTCCAAATGATTTAAATACATAACTTCAATAAAAAATTAGAGGAAAGACCAAAAATAGACCAGCGGAAAAAAAAATCAGCAAGAACAGAATTAATAAAAATTAGCCTACAGACATGTTCCTTCAAAGTTCGAACAGATCAAGATCAAAGTGCAAAGTGCAAAGCAGGGGCTAGGGCTTTGGCGCACTGAAGAAATTGAGAATGAGAGCAAAGTTGAGTGAGTGGCTGAGACGCTAAGTGCTGTTGAGTAACAGTATTGAGGTTTTTTTTTTTTCGATCAGAGTGCAAAGTGCAAGGCAGGATTAAGACATTTTTTTTCTAAGGCTTATTAATTAATAATTTATAAATTAATTTTAATTATATTAAAATAATTATATAGGACCAAACCGGACCACTTAGTCCAGATGCTTGGTCTCTAGTCTGGTCTTACCCGAAAAATCAGTCCTGTCTTTTTGGTCCTATAAGACTAGCATTTTACAGGATTGGACAGGATCAAATTTTCATGGGTTGGACCGGACTGAACAAGACCACGAGACTTTTGCACAGCCCTATGAGGAATTAAAATAATTTATTTTCAATTGAAATTAAAATTTGTCTTCGTATGAAATTTTTTTGGAAATATAACGTTTTAGAAGTTGAAATTTATAATCCTCCAACAAGAAATGTAATTCCAGATTACTTTTTTTTTCTTACAATATATTATAAAAAATTTATAGTTTTTAATTCTCCAACGCCAATAATAAAGACTGCTAAATTGCCGGTCGTCAATAAACAGATTTCATTTTCCAACTTCTCCTCCAAGACTGAAATCTTTGGTTTTAGCCGGAACGCAAAGGGGCAAAATCCCAAGACTCGCAATATAACATGCAAGGTCACAGTAGGAAGGAAGACTACTGCTGTCCCTTGAACTCAAATTTTATCAATAAGGTCATTCAAATGAACAAAGAAATTTTCCAATTAACTAGTAAACAAGCACTAGCCAAAAACATTGTAGCAGAGTTGCCTTTTGCAAGTCATGAGAAGAGGCCCTGCAGAGCGGAAACAAAATGGAACTGAAGAAAAGATGACTTCCTACAGCAGTTTCACAGGGATCAAAGTACCCAGTGATCCATCACAAATGAAGTTATACATGTCTCCCAGTTCACTTGAGCAGAGGATGACGCTCGGCCCATTAGTCATAACATTTCTTGTGACTTTCTCACGCAGCGGCTTACCTTTTTCTTGAAATCATCTCTCTTATCTCTCCACTCCTTCTGAAATAACACATCACACCAAAGAAAATTCAGAATACCTATGTTGAAGCATCTTATCACCAGAAAAAGCATAATCGTACGTTTGGTTAGACATGGGACTAACTCAGACTTTTTTCTTTTAAGTTAAACAAAATCCTCCTCAGTCAAAAGGGACAGGAAGAAATGACTGTCCAATAAGGTATTCCTGATTGATCTGATGTTATTGTGTCAGACATGATAAAAACACATGCTAGTCCCCCGCGCACACCATTATAGGGATGATGAGTGAATACGAGTCCAATATCTTGCATTCCAATAATTCATTATTTACAGTGTGACCGTTGTATCATTTATCAGATCTTATATGATTGAACATCTGTTGATTATTATGTAATTTTGTAGTAGAATTTATGACAAGACACGAGGACAAAAGTGATAAGGAATTTACATTGCCTGTGGTTAACTCTTCAGATACTCACGCAGCTTCTTAAAGACAGATTTTTGGTTTTTGATCTCTCTCTCTCTCTCTCTCTCACACACACTCCTACGTATGCATACATGCATCCATGTATATTTATGCATGTTTGTGGAACAAAAAATACAAACTAATACAAGATCTATATGGGATGCAAAACACAAGCACTATATAAGATTTTTCTTCAGCTTCTTCTCTTTTCTTTTTTCTTTTGGGGGGGGGGGGGTTAATGACACAATTACGTTAACGAGAGAAATTGTCAACTTACTGCAGCTTCAACATTTGCAGGAGACTCGTCATTAGGACTAGAAAGCATTGATATGATACTCAATACTATGCTCTCCACCTGCACAATAGCACATGTCATATTTAAGATGCCTTACGTGGCATATCATAAGTAAAACAAAATTCAGATGTTGTGGACAAGCAGTGGCACCGCATTTACCAAAGACGTCCAAGCACATTTATCAACAGAAAACAAACCTTGAAAATGTTAACACTCTAGTCTCCAGATTAGTGTTAATGCATTTAAGATTTGTTGTTATGACAAGCATGTTGGCCATTTTGATCAGATCCGGTGATTCTGTAAAGCATTGGCTTTGACATTACACTTAAAGCTCTCAATCTAGTACAAACTTGTAAGAACTGAAACTAATTGAGCCTTTCAATCCAACTATATAATTTCAGAAAGTACTAAAAATGTAAGCATAAAAGTTTTATCAAAGATGAGGGTTAGCAAATTCAGCCTCCAATATCTAGTTAAAGACATTGAAGCCAAGGCACAAATAAGTCAATGGTCGCATATTTTGACATACTGTATGAACAGGCATCCAGCGCTCACTTGCAAGCTCATAACCATTTGGATCATCACCTGGCGGGTGAAGAATTGATATGCAAACCCGACCATCAGGATATACTGCACATGGTAAGCAGATTAGTTTCAAGTTACATTCAACGGAGCAACATCACAAGTCAGGAAAAACAACCATTGGGATGCCATATTTCTGAGGTGAATTTCACTGTTGGTGGACTATTTGGGTAGTTGGATGGAAAACTCATAATCGCATTGAAAAATCCTCCCTCGCTATGAGAAATTCAGATAACCAACAAATAAAAGAGAAAAGTTGTTAGTAAAACTCAAGTGGTACAATAACATGGAAATAATAGTAATACAAACATTAATGAACAGAACTGTTATAACTATGGAAACTTCAGATAATAATTAAAATCCCTCTGCAATGAATCTAAAACAAAAGTAGTTCCTGCAATATAGAGAATTCAGACCAACCACTAGACAAATCTCAATAATTTGCAATATAGTCGACAATTCGGCTAAGTGTCAAAATAGGAAACTAAGAGTTGCATTATATGTAATATAATCTATTTTCCATCTATCATGTCCCTCCAAATCATTCTTCATTATTCTTTCTTTCACCTCAAATTCAAACGATCATTTGATGGATTAGTAGAAGCTTCAATGTTGCCCACATTTTTTCCTGTTTTTCTCTGAAATCTCAGCAATGATATAGAGAAACAAAAATAAGGGCTCCTATTCTCATCAATTTGATGAATCCATCATGGTAGGTGATTTTCCGGAAGCCTAGCTCTGGCTCTAACCCTAGGAGTTGCATTAGATGCAATATACCTCCTCCGGTCCAAAAGATATCCAGTTTTTGGGAAAAATCCGCACAACAATGAAATCCCCATTCCCACAAAAATATATATATTTTTCCTATTTTACCCCTAGTCCCAATTACTAACACACTCTATAATGAGTGAGGAATACAATTATACAAATATCTAGGCTAATAAATAAAAGGGATAAAATGATGAAATTTTTTTTTTACATGTATTAGGTTGCTTATATTTTGATCTAAGATTAGTTGAGAGGAAATGATTATATTTTGGACCGCAGGGAGTGATTTATTTTCTATTTATCATGTCTGCCAATATCATTCTTCATCATTCTTTCATTCGACTCAAATTCAAACAATCACAGAATCACTTGATGGATTAGTAAAATCTTCAATGCAGCCCAGTTTTTCCTGTTATCAATTTGACGAATTCATCATGTTAGAGCAGACAAGCAACAGTATCATTAATTTGAAGGTACTAGCAATCATCAAAAACCAAAGTACTTTAAATAGCTAAGGTGGGTGATCTTCTGGAAGGGGTACTCCAACTATAGGAGTTGCATTACATGCAATCTATCACGTCTCCCAGTATCTTTCTTTGTTATTCGTTCTTTCAACTCAAATTCTTACAATCACTTGACGGATTAGTAAGAGCTTCATCGTCACCAACTTTTTTTTTCTTTTTATGTTTTCTCATAATTCTCGACAATGATATAGAGCAACAAAAACAAGGGACATATAATTATCGATTTGATAAATTCATCATGTTAGGGCAGACAAGCAACAACCTCATTGATTCAAAGGTATTAGCAATCATCAAAAACCGAAGGACTTTAAACAACTTAACTAGGTGATCTTGGGGGAGCCAGGCTCCGACCCTCAACCCCGTATGCGCACACAATCAAAGAATTACTAAAGCATATATACACAAAGCAAATCTAAAATTCCAAATAGCAATCCTAAATCAGATTACTTTCTTGCCATGAAACGTAAAAAAAAAAAAAAAACGATATAAGCTTACTAGAGAGTATCCGGAGGTCCAATTATGGTCACGCTCCATTCAAAAATGTTGTTTTCATCCACCAAACCCGCGGAGAACCCATCAACCGGGTTCTTGCAAAGATCTACAATCAAGAGAAGGAAAAGCCAATCACAAAATGGCGAAAAATCCACGCGAAAACCATTTGAGACTGCCGACAAATCAAAAGGCCACAAAGCCAGACAATATCAAAGAGAGGACTTTTAAGCGACCCCTTACCTTTGAGTTGCTTTTGAAGGAGAAGGCTTGCTTGAGACGCCATCGATAAACAGGGACGGAATCAAAGAGCTCCTGCAAACGAAATTTGAGAGCTGAAGAGCGAGAGCTCTAAGATTTTGAAGGAATATGAGAAATCAAAAGAAGTCACGAAGCCGACACTTCGATTATTTATAAAGAGATGGTTCCCAATGGGAAATGCGCCCTTGGGCGACTGCCCTGAGACCAGCTATCCCAAAAAAATTAAAGGTCTCCCACTCTCCCTGCGGCGAACTTTACTGCCGTATTTGTTTAGGTATTTTTACAGATATCCTCTCAAAAAGTGCTTTAAAAATAAATAAATAAATAAATATATTTTTTATTCAAGGTGTTGCTTTTATTAATGATTAATACGATGAGTTATGTGAATAAGAAATTTATTTTTGTCACTATTATTCTCCAGAATTTCAATGTTTGCTTGGGTGAGAAGTTGAGCACAGCATAAGCTTGCGTGTAATCTATCTACCCATTTATCTTTTTTTATTGCGTGTAATCATATCAGATCCACTATGTATACATTAAATTTTGACAATATCAGATTAAATATTAAATACTTTTATAAATGTATTTTTTTAGCCCAAATATTAAATTTAAATTAAATGAAATTAATCAATGTTAAATTTCAAGGAAGATATTTTAAATTAAAAATCAAATTAATTATGGTTTGATTTTCTTAACTTGATAAATATTAATTATGCCACAAAATTAGTCGTTTTATTATTTAAATCAAAGATTCGAAACTTTGCTATAGAGTTACAGTACTTATCTAAGTATATGAGTTATTTCCCTAACATGTGGCAAAAAAAAAAAAAAGAGTTATTTCCTTAATGTAATATCTGTATGTAATATTGTAGTTGAATTTATAAAATTATGTGTGCTGGAAAAAATTAGTAAAATTATTTTTCTATTTCTAAGTACTTTAAAAGATAATTATCTCTTGATATTTGGTATTTTTTCCATTTCAAATTGTAGAATACTTTTGAAATAGTTTTATGTTCTAAAATATAATACATTTTAAATAAATTAAGGTTTCATTAAATGCACCAATTTTAATATCATCCTTTTTCTTTTTATAATTAATTTCTGTCTCTTTTCTTTTTAATATATTAAATAATGAGTATTTTTAAAAATTTATATTTTTTAAAAAAGATAAAGTTATTAAGTGTATTTAATGAGATTTATTGATACATGAAATTTTGTCTAAAAATATTTTATAATTTAAAACGGAGAAAGTATTATTAATAATTGACAAGACAAAAAATAAATCTCTTTAATTTTTTTAATTCGTATAGTTGTATCATAAGTGTGCAGAAATGCGCACATCTATGATTTTTAATCTTTTCAAAATTATTTTGATCATATGAATATATTATTATTTGATTAGGAAAATACAATAGATTATTCTGGTTAAATTAAGTCTTTTCCATCCATGGACATGGATTAATTTGAATTAATAGAAGGGGTAGGATAGGTCAAGTTACTGAATCTAGAAAATTTATGTACTTCATTAACATCTTTTATTTTAAAAATAAAATACAAAGAACTTCCGGTCTATGAATGTCACAGCCGCCATACCACTACCAGTGTGTAAATAAAATTAGTCCTTGCAATCATCTGGAACTTGTCATTCCTTATTCCCAACAGATCCTGGTGTCATCCTTCTCTGTTTTTTTTTTTTTGGGACCAAGCAAATAAAATTTATATATTAGAGCTAGAAACCAAGAGTTCAGATAACAAGAGCAGAGTAAACCAACAAAAAGAACCAAACAGAAACTGAAGAAAGGCAAAAACAACAGGAATAAACTTCAGAATCCAGAGCTAGGAGAGAAGCCAGCAGGGACGAATTTGTTTTGAGCAATCCCACGAATCAGTTCAATGTTGTGAATCTCAGGAAACAAGAATATTGAAGACAAAGCCCAGACCAAAACTCATATGAAGCCCGATAATCATAAGTCCGAAGATATTGGTCCCCGCACTCCTTCTCATCACCTGAGTCACTTTTCACCCTGTACATATTGCTGCCTCTGCGTGCTCTGTAGTTACCCGGAAAATATCAATTATGTTGTGACAATGCTTTTCTTTCACACTCCATGCCTTTACACAGCGTGCTTCTCTTTTATTGAAGCGCGCAGTAACATGTTCTTTTTTTCCATGATTTGAGTTATATTCATCCTTGCATAGCTACTGGGAGGAATAATATTGTGAAGGTCTTACAAAACTCAGTAATGATGTCAGGCCTTGTACATGAACCCATCACTACTAACTCTTCTTTGGTTGGAGGGAAAATTCAACTCAAACTGGGGGCTTTAGGAAATTCCCCTCTCCCCCTCTTCCCTCCCCCCCCCCAAATTCAAATCTCTCTCTTCCGGCCCCCCTCTAATCAAATACTTTATTGAATCTTATTTATAAGATATGTTTTAAAATATTTATTTGATTTTATTTATAAATTACTGTGTGACTTTTTTAGATAATATTTAAAATATATTTGCAAAATTATCCTTTATAAAAATAATATAATATTACTTTTTGAATTTGTTGTATATGAGTATTTGAAATTTTACACATTTTTTTCTTATATTTTTTAACATTAATATTGATGAGATTACTAAAAATAATTTATAAAAAAAATTAAAGGAATATAGCATAAACGAGAAGTGTTTGCGTGTATGTTGAATTGATATACAATAAGATTGTGAACTCCAGTTATGTCTACAGAGCAAGCTGCCAAAAAGAGATATGATGACTATTAAAAATAATTGGTATCAAGAAACACGCGCGCGCAATAAATATTTTTTAGAAAATCCTCGCGTTACATCCTTAAAAAAAAAAAAAATGCCGACGATGTGTTTTCGGGTATGCATTTTCATATCAAAAATAAAACAAAAATTATCTCACCCGCAGATGACAGAGACGAAATTAAGTGACTTGAAGTATCTTCGCTGGCCAAAAATGACGGAGACGAAATTGGTGACATCGACGGCTTTGGAAGCAGATTTTTTTCCCGGTAAAAAAAAATAAAATTGGGCTTTTATTTCCTCTTAAAAATTGAAGGGACCCGTCTGAAATTGATATTTATCAATAAAAAATAATCATTTATTCTTTATAATATTTTATTCAATTATTAAATTTTAACTCATTATAACTCAATCTTTAAAATTTTAATTTAATTGAAATTTAATTTTTAAATTTTAATTATTGTAACTTAATTTTTTTTTAATTATTTAACATATTGATTCGTATATCTTAAAAAATTATAAAGATTTAGTTCATGTTAAGATTTATTACTAATATTTTAAATTTAAATCACTGAAGTCTTTTAATTTTTAAAGTTTAAAATATTTTTAATTATTATGTTTAGCATTTAATATTTCTTTTAATTTTTAAAGTTTAAAATATTTTTAATTATTATGTTTAACATTTAATTTTAATAATTATTATTAATATTTTAAAATTGAATATAAATTAAATTATAATTGGATCAAGATTTAAAAATTAAATGATTATTTTTTCTTTTTTTAATTGGTAGAAATTTTTCCCTTTAATAATTGTATGGAAGGAGGAAAAGTTGTCCTGGAAGTGATAGGCAGTCTGTGGTGGCCCAAATTAAACGTGGGCCTTAACAGATAGACATGAGGCCTGGTTCAATATTAGCCCAGTTTACCGTAACAACCTCATCTCGAGGAGACGGGGATGCTCCTTTTTTTTTTTTTGGAGCATATATTTCCCCAAATAGAGGACCCAAACCTTTCCTGAACAAGTCCGTGTCCTATTCCTCAAACCCAGCTCTGGCTACATACATGGTTGAATAGAAATGAATACCCTCAGACAAAGAATCAATTTCATTTGAAATCTGAGCAGTAGTGGGGAGAGTTCATTTTGCTCTCCCACACGTGGTATCTGGGATTCCCGCTGATGTCCCTGTTGATCTTGCCGCAGTGTGTGTTCACGGTAATTGTGTGTTCACTGGACATCAAATTCTTTTTTTTTTTTTCCTTTTTTGCTACAAGAAAATTTTAGGTGAGTTAAATCCAAAATTCAATATGTGGATTTACTGTGAGGGCGCATTTTGCTACATGTCTCAGGCTGAAAGGGGGCTCAATACGTGGCCCTTGTTTGCTATTTTCAGTGTAGTTGGCTTAATCTTCTCCTGTACCACGGTTTTATTTGTTTGGATCTGGTCCATATCTCTTCTCTCTTTTTCTCTTTCTCTCTTTAATTTTTCTTTCGGATAGATCTCTAATTTACTTTGTTTACTGTGCTCAAGAGTCCAGAGACCGGCAACTACACTCGAGAAATTACAGTGGATTTACTGAGAGGGCACGTTTTGGGCTGTGCCCCATCACATTAATCAACCGAAATGACTGATTAGGCGCGTGCATTGATAAATGACAAAACTTTTCTCCATGTTTCAAGTACGCACCTTAACGCGTGTCTTAGGAATTGTATGTCAGCGTTCGAAAGAACTTTTTTAAAAAAAAAAATCAAGTCCTGCCTGATTTATTGTTCATTGAAATTTAAATTCTCACATCTTAAAGGATACATTGAGCGTGAAAGAAAATCAGAAGAAATCAGCAAGAAATTAAAAATTTATGCTTAACTCTAATATTTCTCTTGTACCGTCATTGTCACCTGGAGATGATGCAATTTCTTGGCGAAATATGAAATTCAATCTTTAGCTTCTGATTATTAATCAATACAGCTTTGGCATCGGCTGTCATCACCTGTGGCACTTACACTACCAAAAAAAAAAATCAATGATAATTTTTAGTGGTAACTCTCCAAAGTCACCATTAAAGTAAATAATGTTACCTTTAAAAGTCTGACCTTCTATAACAATAATTAATGTTACCGTTAAAAGTATGATTTTTTACGATAACTTTTGTAAGTTGTTGCTGATTGTTTACTTTTATCAGTGACTTTTAAAATTAAAATTTCAGTGATGATATAAAAATCACCACTAAAAGTGTGATTTTTAATGATAACTTTGACTATCGCCAGAGAAGGTGAAAGTTTGATTTTTCAAGACATTTACTCCAAAAAGAATGATAATCAATAATAACTCTATATGTTCATCATAATTTTTTTATTTTTTTAATTCAATATTTAACATTTTAAGACATTAATTTTATTTTATTATTGTAATTTTATGATGAATAAATAAAACAACATAATAAGTTATCATTTTGTATATTTTATGATTAAATTGATACTTTAAAATAATGAAACTATTTTGA